GACTCAAAGAAAGCAAGGCGAGGGGGGGGGGGGGGGAGGGGGGGGGGGGGCTCCAAAGAAATAAGGGTAGCACCGAGGCAAAATCTCAAAAAGGGTCCCCAGTCCGATGAGCGGATCAGGGTAAGCACTGGCGCTGCCGTTAACGACTTGATAACTCAATCAAAACCATCAACTTGCATTCTCCTCAAAAGTGGGTGGTAGGGACTAAGTGATAAAAGGGATTTAGGGTATGCCCCTAACACACAAATTATCTATAACGTGATATGGCCGTGGTAAGTAGCGCAGGATCAGATTCCGGCTCCATTTTCGTGGTCTTATGAAGCTCAAGAATCAGTCATCGGTCATTAGACCCGGCTAGGAAATAAGAGCAATGATTCAAAACATGCAAAACAGTGCAAAACGTCAATGTGCATTCAAACGTTTCAGTTAAACCCAGCAAATTTCGCATGCATGCCTTATATTAGTAATACATATCACTCCTCACGGCACTTCTATTTATAACTCTTAATTTAGCCGGCAAATTGGCAAAGATTTCAGCCATCCCATACTGTTCCCGGTCCCGCAAGCTATAAAGAGTGCATGGCGAAATTCCGTAAAAAGTGAATCTAACAGAAATTCAACACAAAAATAAACCAAATTAATGCATCAACATAAAGAGGATCAGCCCTTGGCCCACTTAAAAGAAATCAACGAGCAAATTTCGGAACAAAAATTAATCATGTTTTGTTCCTTATCAGAAATCACTTTATCATATCACAGATTTTATTCTACCGTATATTTCAATCAATAGGAAATTTCCTGAGCAAAAATACACCACCACAATGGCTGATACTCTCTAGATGATTTTGAATGCACGTGTCAGAATGAGGAACTTGATTTTGGACCACCTAAAAAGATAGAAAATAAAGAATTAAAGCAATCAAGCAGGGATGAAAAAAATCAATGCAAAAAATCAAAAAAAAAATCAATAATTGACCTGGCTAAAACTTGGGAGCTTACACCGGGCGGTGGCGATGGTGAGGGATCTGTTGGTGAACTGAATGGAAATTTCGATTTAACTAGAGGATTATGGTCAGAAAATACACGTAGGATTAGTCGTGTTTAGTGTAACTTCACAAACTGTGCAGTAATAGGCAATGGTTATAGCTGACGGCAATTGTTGAGCCCTTGCACATTACATAAAGAGAAAAATCGAAAAAGTATTAAGTTACTATAAGCCAGACAAGGATGCGCCATGCTGTTGTTTTTTCGAAAAAAGAGGCCGGAACAGCTGAGTGTTTCTTTACCAGTTTTTCACTATGGCGTTCATTGAAATCCTATACATTTTTCAGGCATTACACCTTTTTTACACGTCCTTTTTGTTACTGATATAATTCGATGACGTCTTAGATGTAATCAAAGTCGGTCAATTAAAAAAAAATGTGAAAGCCCCGAAATATTGTCAAAAAAACAGCTAATCTAGTCAATTTCACAATGGAAATGACAGTAACACCTCATAGGAATAAAATAAAATAAATTACTTCTGTATATGAAATAAGTGATGCGGGCTGCTGCCGAATGTGGGACCATGACGAAGGACAATAGTGCTACACAAATATTGTAATTGAGTTTAAAATACCTTAGCAAATCTTCACGTTCACGTTCTTTCCGTCCCGGTCGAAGATTTTCCAATTCCTCCTCAAGTTCCATTACTCGACCTTTAAGTACGTTCTTCTCCTGTAGTACTTCGCGCAATTCAGCGAGCGTAAATCGCGGCTCATCATCCACCTGGAAATAGTTTCATAGTACTTTTTCCAGAAAAACCACGCCGCGGAAGGTCCCGTGTATAATTTTGACTTCAGACGCGTCCTCTGTCACGTTTTTGATAACAAACAAACAAATAAATAGATAAGAATTACATTAGCTGATGCCTTGAATTATTTGCCCTGCGTCGCCACAGAAGGTGGAACCCAGCAAGCGAAGCATTCAGTTTCTGAGAGCCAAGGCAAAGTATGGAGCTCTCCCACACGAGCCCGATAATAACTCATCCTTTCCACAAGGTATTCAGCATTGGATTCAGCAGCTGACGGCAGTGGAGCGGGCCCTATGATTTATGACAACTGTATAAAATGAAAAATAATGAGCGTCTAAGAACTGGACCGGACTGCGCCACGCTCGCTATTGCTGGACTTGTGGTTTCATTACAATTTGATGGTTAATCGAAGAAGCGCTTCCAAGGAGTGGATATATAAGGCATCCGTTCTTCCTGCCAAGCTTACTGACAGGTTGCTCACCTACTCAGGTAACGAGATGTTTACCACTTTGATGACTATTCGCGGTTGCTCCAACCTTATAGATTTTTTTTCTAATATTATAGCTCATCTGCGTATAACAAATAAATAAATAAATGAACGATCAAATATCGTGAAATGCGAATTAGACAAACCTGATTGGCTTGTTGTAAATCTTTACAGACTCTATCAGTGTCGCTTAATAATCGCCGTAATTGAATGTTCGCCTCTTCTGTCTTTTCCAACCTAAATTATAGATAGCAACCTTTGCAAAAGCTCGCCTCGCTTCCTCACTTGATAGCAAAATAAAAACAAAAACAACTATATTTGTTTACCTACTCATTCCCTGAAAACCGAGCTGTTGTTTCAGCTAAACACGTACCTTCGGATAATCTCCATTTTTTCTTCGACAATCATACGTCCCTGTTTTTGTAGTGACGAATTTTTTCGTAGTAATTCTTCGTTCTGCCTAATGAGTTTTTCGATTGAATTTTGAAGCTGAAATAGTAACAAATGATTGTGGATAGGATCCAATTGTTGAGCTTTTTTGCCTTTATAGGGTACGCCTTGTTGGAATCGTTGATGTTGGTGCCATCTACCGTTCATTCAAATATCACTCGATATCGTTCAGCCTAGCGTTCTATCACCCTTTGCCATGCGACATCGTCAAATGCCGCCCAAGCTAGGACCTGCACTAATAAATCAGCGCAAGGCTTTCTCTCGCCAACTTCACCAGATACGCTTTCACCTTTACTACTTTGCTTGACCAGTTTCGGCGCCGATAGGTTGCCGCTCAGAACTTCTGACGGTCACTTACCAACGTCCATTGTTGCCTAAATTGGATCTGCTGCTAATCCTTGGTCGCATTCTACGGGACAAAGCGGGCCATCTTGGAATTAACACCGTCAAATCTACAGTTAGACTAGTGTACGTAGCCCTCCCATCAACAATATAATTGAAGAAAAATGAAAAAAAAAACTGAAGAAACAAGGTGCAAAAAGGGACCAACATTTTCCACTTCACAAGCGNACATTTCTTTTAATTCGAACAACAACCGTACATCTTCTTCTCGCACTACAAAAATTATATTTTCAAGTGTTCAATACATTCAATCGATAAAATCAATAGGTACTCACTGGCTGCGGTTGTGGGACTTTCCGTATTTGCTGGTAGTGATGAGACTGTGGTGCTCAACGTCTTATTCTCGGACATCAAGGCTTTGACCATCGATCGTAACTCGTTAATGTCCTTCTTGTATGTCTCTTCGACTTGGTCCAGCTCCTAAACTCACAAATAGCTCGTAAGGACGATCCCAAAAAATCTCCCCAATCACATATCGCCCAAAACCCATATTAGACAAGGGGCTATTCTAACAATTCTCCATATATTTTTTCTATGAGCGCATGATGAGGACCTCAATTTCAGAATGGATTTGATCCACTTGTGAATGGTTTCCAATAGAATTTCTTGTAACCGCACCTCCTCGAACTTTGCCGTCTGCAACTGCCGTGCCTGTTTTTCATGTTCTAACCGTTCTACGGTCTTTTGTAAAGACAAGATCTCTTCATTTTCTCTTTCGTTATTGTTCGCAAGCGATTCTAACGTTTCCAAGGCCGAGATAACCTAAACGAAGCTATTTAACATTTCAGTAATGTGCTCGTAAACAAGAAAAAGGTTATAACATTGCAAATGATAACAATTTCCTCATGAAAACAAACATAGCCTGTTTCTCAACAATTAAGTAACTGAATATTTTTTTTCTGAAGTCATAAAAAAGAATGATCAATTGGGAAATCAGTGGACGAGTTTCGCAGGAAACTCCGCCGCCCTCCGGTAGGCGAGGCAATCCAGCAATGGACATGAAGCGCCTTGATGTTTTACTGAGTACACTGCAGGGGCTCGTCCAACCCACAACTCAATGACAGTGCTACAAGCACATCAAGCGCCACCAATTGGGTTCTGGAAGTGAAGAGGAAGTAATACAACCACTTCTAGTTGGATGCCTTCCAGCCCTGATATCTTCATCTATGAATCGTCCCCAACAGCCATTAAACTGCATGGAAAAAGCTCTCCATACCAATACGGAACATACTTCAGAAGCGCTCGAAAAAACTGCCGCTATTTCCAGACACGAATACCCACTTCTGAAAGAAGGCATTAACCGTAATAAGAACTCATCCAAACGTCAAACTCCTGTTGCTGCCCGTGGAGAAGATGGGTGAAATAAGCCACGCAAATTCCATGTTGCCGGATCACTTACCACAAAAACCTTTTTACAATTTTTGACAGTTCTCACTTCCCCCGTGGAGCTTTCCCACTTCTACCCTATAAAATTGATGTAATCAAACTGGGTACCCCCAGTGTGCGTTTCTGTAAGCTGTAAAACCGAATCGTGGAGGTTCGGTCCGAAGATAAATGAGCGCTGCCAATTTTCAATGCCGGCTAACGAATTCATGGAAAACGCAGTAATCGCACATAAAATATGTTTCCACCCACGACAAGACATTTATCAATCGGTTGGTGTTGTTAGCGACAAAGGCAGTCATGGGGCGGTACGGAAGGAAACGGCTACTTGGTAAGATGAACAATGTTCCGCCGGCAGTCGTGTGATCGATGATAAACGTCTTCAACAAAGGGTACGCCTCGAAAAAGACGGAAATCAATAGAAAATACAGAAAAATCGATGGCGCTTCGTAGGAATGCGTTCGTCAAGCTACCACCTGCTCAGTAGTTTTCTTTCTCCAGTGATTAGTCCAATTGCCTCAAGATTATACGCAACCTGAGGTGCTACAAATGAGTACTACCCGAGGAGAATATGGGCAGATGGGAAATGTGATATTTGACAATTGTCTCAAATATGCTGGTCACATATTTACTCTTCCTGAGAAAAAAATTTCGACGGGGACTCATTGATAACTGGAACGCCCCGCAACATCGACGGCGTCCTGCCTGATCATGGCCCTCAAAACCCGGAGGGATCCAAAGGTAGCAGAGCCCGGAAACATCCGCCAAGCATTTCCGAAAAAAGAAGTTGTATATACTGGAAGCTCGCGGTCGCTCTGATCAGAATACGATCCCTGCCTATAGAAAAGCGACATGCACTGAGAGGATCAGTCCTTATAAGACATCTAGCGAAAGTGTTGCCATTCATAAGTGAAAACTATGATTTCCAGGACCGTTTAAACTTTTTTGGCTTCCTCTCCTCACTGATCTTATCATCAGCGGCCATAGGAGACAGAGCTAAGCAATAACTGTGAAGCTCTGGCCAATGGCTCAAACTAGCTCAGCTCGGATGCAAAAAAGAAAAGCTAATTTGGTTGGTCGCAACTAATGAGCCATAAACTTTAGCCATAACGCTGGCATTTCTCGTGAAAACCCATGTTTATACCTCATTTCTGCGGAAGCCATCGAATCTCCTCACTAACGGACCAAACCTTTTCGGCTTCAGCTTTCCGCACCATATGAAACCGCCCTATAACACATGTTTTCCATCCCGATTTCCCTCTTTACAGGGGATCCGTTATGGGAGGTAAGCAGCCATCAGAAAAGTCTTGGATTACATCTTAGTTTTTTTTTTGTTCCGGGCTACACCCATACCACTGGTGACCCTTCAGGAACCGCCCACGCATCCCAGAAGACCGGCCCTCTCAATGGCGAGCTTTTTCATCGAATTTTATCAAGCTCAGCAAAAGTTTTATGATAAATAAGAATGAGACCAAGGATAAAGCTGAAGTTTTAGAAGAAATTCCGTCAAGAAGTTAAAATAAAAACTGAAAAAACGAGAATAGAACAAAAATTATAGCACTCAACACTTACCTTGGGCATAATACCACGAACGCAGTCATTTCCATGAAGTTCAATAATCTTTTCGAAATCTTTACCTATCGATGCGGCCAAATCGTATACGTCAACCACCTGCAAAATTGATTTTCATTTTCTTAACCATTTATTAAAAAAAATAATTGTATTTCTCTACCACATTGATAAGAAATACATTTATTAATGGAAAAATCAATTAATATGAAAACAAAAATTCATCCAATTTTTTTGAAGTTTAACCATGCTCTCTCGGGAGAAGAAAAGATTTGATCGGAAACAGAAAATTTTTTCGATTTTCCCCATTCTGCCATTCCCGTAATCGGCTCCCACAGTCAAGTTCGCGGTAAACTGTAAGGAGTGAAAAGAAGTTGCTTTCGACCTGAGGGCAGTATCAGAAAGGTGAAAGCTTACTGTCAAGCTAATTTTGCAGACAGGATAAATAGTCACATACGCCCTTCAAACGATCCTCGGCGATCCCCGGCTTCCTCCCCTCACCTCCATCAGTACTTCTTGGTAGCCATCTTTCACTGGCCTACACGAACCTCCGAATCTTCCCAAACTTCCACGGGAACCATAGAAATCCTTTCGACAGTCTTGCACTTCCCGACGAGGCAGCTCACAAGGGAAGATCCCAAGTCGAAGTAGCCATTTGAAATGGGACCTATACTGCTAGGCGTATTTTTTGATGCTGATTTCAAATCTGCACTCAAAATCTGCCAAACGATTCTCTGAGAGAAGTTATGGAGATGGTCTCCAAGGAACGCTCAACAGGGGAAAGCAGAAAAGCCATGATCGCCGGCAGCCCAGCAGTGGCGGCTTGGGCTGGAGGTAAGCGTGATGTTT